AGATTGCGCCTTGAACTACTCTTCCACTTCATGAATGACATCATCTGTGTTGTCAACTCAGTGACCCCGCAACAGATTTTTCATTTTTGGGAAAAGAAAAGTCACCCGGTGATGATGACCTTGACAAAATTTCATCAATATACCATAATAACTTCTGGGCGATCATTATTACTTTACAATACCCTCTCATACTTCTCCATCTTACACTTTAGCTACTTCTGGCACAACCTGTCACAAAAATAAAGGACACAATGAGCTGATTTTCTCAACATCAGAGACCAATGATGACACTGACAAATTTTCATCAATATACCCTAATAACTTTCAGGTGGCCATTATTATTTTATGATACCCCCTCGTATAGGAATATAGAAAAGTGCCTTTTACTGAGTTGGGCTATTAGTATTGTGTTTTTTTTAAGCAACAATAAATGAATGGAAGTCATTTCCTATTCACTTGCTATTTTAGAAAAGAAATGGCCCCTCCTGGGCTTAAAATCAGATAGGGAACAGAAATATGGTTAAAATTCCCCCACGCCCCCTGAAGTACTGTATATTGGGGGTGATTTATGAGCAAAAATATTACATGTGGTGACTCTCTTATCTGGAATTCCAAAATCCAAAGTATGCCAAGATCTCAAATTATCCACATGGGTGGCTGAGATATTGACACTTGTGCTTTCTGAGGGTTCGGTGTACACAAACTTTGTTTAAGGCACAAAACTATTTCAAAATATTATGTATAAAACTACCTTCAAGCTATGTGGATAAGGTGTATAGGAAACATAAATGAATTTCATGCTTAGACATGGATCCCATCTCCAAGATATCTCATTACATATGATATATGCAAATATTCCAAAATCTAGAAAAAAATCCAAAATCTAAAACACTTCTGGCCGCAAGCTTCTTGGATATGGAAGATTCAACCTGTAAAAAAAAAAAAAGTGTTGATCTTGGCTTCACAGTCAGCCCTGGGGTGACAGGCAGCCCATGAACCTCCAGTTTTTCCCAGCCCTGGCTAGCGATCTCTGATAGTCTCCTATGCAACTATTCCCTATGCTGCTTTGCTTTCAAAACTGGATGAGATTTGGTGCATTCAGAGTAGAATGATACCATCACTGGAAAACTCAATGAGCTGGCTGATCAGAGTAAATATACATCTAATCCACTGGTAAGCACAATCTAGTATATGTGCATCTCCAACCCCATAAAGTACAACAGGTTGAAAGGCACACCTTTTTCCTCATCCCTCAAGGACTAGCTGCTGCCATTACCAGCCTCCTCACATACTGGAGTCCCCACCAGCCATACACTCATCTTCTCCGATCTGAACACCACTGTATTCTAGGGGTGCACCTATAATTCTATACTGTAGCAATAATGCAGTTTGACACTACTTTAAGGGCTATAGCAACATCCTATGGAATCCTGGGATTTGTAGTTTTACAAGGTCTTTAGCCTTCTCTGCCAAAGAGTGCTTGACTCACCAAACTACAAATCCCAGGATTCTGGGATGGCAGTTAAAGCGGTGTTAAACTGACTTATTTCTACAGTGTAGATGCACTATCATTTTCCCTTCTATAGTCTGCTACTGAGGCACCAAATATTTTCTTGCCATGAAAAGATTTGCTTCAAGTTTTCCTGATGAGGTATGAACAAGATGAGCCTTTTCTTCCAAAAGCAATGCACCCTTAAACTCTTTATTTTTCCCTTCAAAATCAGCATTGCTGGCATACAGGCTTTTTTAAAAATAGCTTCATTAGGACTAGTGACTTATTCCTGGCACCATCTCCAGCTGTGTAATTCCCTTAAAGCCAATAGTGGCTCCAAGTCAACAACTGGCTCCATTTCTGGTGTCGCAAAAATAACATGATAAAATACCAATTTTTAGAAGAATCTGAACTAGCCCAGTACTTGCTTATCTACTGCCATCTAATAGTGCTAAAGGTGTGTGTCACACCATTTGCCAAGATGTGCCAAGAATAGCCAGTCATTGTTATTCCAGTAAAATGGTTGGAAAATAGGAATAATCGATTTAGAAAAACAGGAGTGTTTGCTTGTTGTTTAAAAGTTATTTGGTTTAAACCAACTTGGTTTAAGCCAGCCAATCCTGATGGAGTCCCTTTTGAAATTGTTACAGGCCTGTAAATACTGCCAATAAGTGAAGAAGGAACATTTTAAAAATCCTAAACAAATCTTCTGAGTTAACAAAATTTCCTGGAGATTATCCCCCCCC